GCCTCCCAAATGCTGAGGTTAAAAGTCATGTACTACCACCCCTTCCTGGCCTTATTTGTGACATCTTTTTAACTGAAAAACAAAATAAAAAACAAAAAACTTTTTTTTCCACCAGGTATGGTCACATGCCTTTATTTCCAGCATTCTGGAGAAGGTAGATCTTTGTGTGTGTATATAGTGAGTTCCAGGTCAGCCAGGGCTATGCAGTGAGACCTTTTCTCAAAAATAACAAAAACCCAAGAGGACTATGTGTGCAGGTGTGTTTAGGTGCATAAGTAGCACAGCGACTGTGGAGTTGTTTCTCCTATCATGTGGATCCCAGGGATTAAAGTCAAGTCCTCAGACAGGTACTCTACCCACTGAGCCATCTTTCCCAGCCTCTATAATCTTTTTTTTTTTTTTGGATATTCAAGACAGGGTTTCTCCGTAGCTTTTTGGTTCCTCACGCCTTTAATCCCAGCACTCGGGAGGCAGAGGCAGGCGGATCTCTGTGAGTTCAAGACCAGCCTGGTCTACAAGAGCTAGTTCCAGGACAGGCTCCAAAGCCACAGAGAAACCCTGTCTCGAAAAACCAAAAAAAATAAAAAAATAAATAAAAATGTAGTTACGGTGGTGGCGCACTCCTTTAGTTCCAGCATTCTGGGAGGCAGAGGCAGGCGGATCTCTGAGAATGAGGCCTGCCTGGTCTACAGAGTGAGTTCCAGGGCAGCTAGGGCTGTACACAGAGAAAGCCTGTTTCGAAAAACCAAGAGAGAGAGAGAGAGAAAACACACTAAGATTTACATAGATATAATCTACATGGGAAGTAGAAAGTTAGAAAAAGACAAGATCTTCTGAGTAAATTGGGAGCCTGCGGACCTTGTGGAAGAATTGAAACGGGTGGGGGGAGAGGCAGGGAGGGGAGCAGAGAAAAATGTAGAGCTCAATAAGTATCAATTTAAAACAAAGATGCATTACTGGTAAAAAGAAAAAAAAAAGGAGAGTAAGGCTATGCATGGTGGCATATGTCTTTAGTCTCTCAAGTACTCAGAGGTGGATGTCTCTGAGTTTGAGGCCAGCCTGGTTTATGTAATAAGTTCTAGGACTCAAGGCTGTTCAGAACCTATCTCAAAAAGCAAAATAAAGTAACTATTGCCAACAGCCGTGAACCTGATATTTTAGCCTCTCCAACATAAAAACGAACCACAATTCAGGTTTCTGAATTGAGATGCTGAGTTGAGCTTAATCCTTTTGCTTGTCTTTTCAGGACTTTAAGCTTGCAGCCCCCTGTCCAGCTCTTTTCCATTTCTAGCCAGATTGCTAGGACCCAGCTGGGCCATACTCAGCTCCTAGAGGGTTCTAGGTCAAGTACCTCTGCAAAATTTAGGGTGTGTTTCATCATACGTTGCTTACTGATGGGGTTATGTTTTGAATAATTTGCCATGAGATGATTTTACACATGACAGAATGTAGTTACATGAGTTAAAATAGGTTTTATGTCAGTAGGCAGTACAGTCCTAGTAGATCACCATGTTTTCTAGGTAGGCAGGGTGTCTGAAACATCTGAAACAGACAGGGTTTCCCTGTGTAGCTTTGGAGCCTGCCCTAAAACTTGCATGTGTGCTGTAGGCTAAAGGAAAGCGTCAGATGTCCCCTGTTACTCTGTTCTTCAAGGTAGGGGCTCTCCCTTAGCCTGAAACTTTTTTGGGGGGGGGGTAGCCAATGAAACCCAACCTTTTTCCTATTTTCTCCACCTACCCACTGTATTGTGGGTATAGACAAGGTAAAACCATGGCGAGCTTGTTATGTGGTTACTGGGATCCAAATTCAGGTCCTCTTGGTTGCCAAGCAAGCACTTTTCCTACTGAGCTATCTGCCCAGCCACAATATTTGGGTTTTAGGATTGTGTGCATAGATTGTCCGGGGAAGGTTTTATTTTCTTCAGTAAGTGTTCAAAATCATCCTTCCCCTGAGGACTTGTTCCCCAGAGACACTGCTCTCTGGATGTAAGGTTTGTATTATTCTTTGAGTTCCTGTCTATATTAAGTTGTCCCCATCCCCCAGCCAGAATTTTCTTACTGTAGTGGTCTGAACTTTACCCCCATTATAACAATGTTCACCGGTGTGGTGGCACACATATTTAATCCCAGCACTTGGAACACAGAGGCAGGTCTGGTCTACATGAGTTCCAGGACAGCGAGGGCGACACAGAGAAACCCTGACTTGAAAATGCTAAAAAACAAAACAAAACCAAAAAAAAAGAAAAAAAGAAAGAAATGTTCATTACCTGGAAAAAAAAATCAACAAATGCTAGATTAAAAATTATGTATTTTATGTCGGGTGGTGATGGCACATGCCTTTAATCCCAGCACTCAGGAGGCAGAGGCAAGTGGATCTTTGAGTTCGAGGCCAGCCTGGTCTACAGAGCAAGTTCCAGGACAGGCTCCAAAGCTACACAGAGAAACCCTGTCTTGAAAAACCACACACACAAAAAAGGTATTTTAGGTGCTCATATGGATTGGGGTGCATCTCATATTTAACTCACTGAAAATTGAAACCTCATGAAAGGAGGTAGGGTTGTTTATGGCAATCTCACTTTTCAGATGTGGAAAATAAGACTTTGGTTAAATAACTCAATCTTAAGATAATAACTGACAGAAAGGTTTCAGACTAGAGCCAAGCATGGTCTACTACCCTAAATACTTGTATATACTCTTCTATATACTCATACATGTACACAAAAGAGATCACATGACATGAAACACTTTTTATTTCTGTGTATTGTGATCACCTTTCCATAGCAGTAAATAGATGACCTCAGCTTTCTTTTTAATCCGATGTCCTGTTTTCTCTCCTGGCTGTTTCCAGGATCGATGAGAACGTGCTTGGAGCCCAGCTGGATGTTGAGGCCGCCCATTCAGAGATCCTCAAGTACTTCCAGTCAGTCACCTCCAATCGGTGGCTCATGGTCAAAATCTTCCTCATCCTCATTGTCTTCTTCATCATCTTTGTGGTCTTCCTTGCCTGAACCCTCACTCACTCTGAGGCACTCCATGGAGGGTTTGGGACCCTCCTGGGAGGGCAGGTGGCCACTGTTGCCATTGAGCCTGTGTAAGGTGGTTGGGAGAAAGGCCATTTCCTTGGAACTGCTAAGAATGGCCAGTGTCCCTGTTTCCCACCCTTGTCTCTGGCCACTCTGTCCTACCCCTCAGGCCCTTGAAACACACTGGTTCTGGATTTGGACTCTGCTGTGAAGTGGCTGGGAGCAGAAGCCAGCTAGGGGCCAGTGGAGGAGGTTGTCTCCACAAGGAGATTTTTATAAAACCTTACCAGCCTCCCCCAGAGGTAACTTTGGCAGCAAGGGGAGATAATGCCCTCCTTACCTCCCTGAGAGTGAGGCAAGGAGACAAAACTATCCCAGGGACCAACTTTACCATCAGGTTAGAACTTGACTGCCTCCCTCTATTCACCATGTGAGTGAGGGGGCTCTGAGCCCTTCAGTTGCCTGCACAAACCTGACTTTGGCTACTGGTGACTCTCAATCTGCCAAATGTGCTGCAGCCTGTTTCCTCCCAATTACAGCAAGACTGTCAGCTTCACTAGTGACGTTGTCATTTCTGGGTGGGGTCGTGCCCGATACCAGAACCAGTAGGGTAGAGTTGGTGGCTCTGAAGGGCCCCACGGGTAAGCAAGGTACTTTTGGGCTCTTTACCCACAACTCCCTCCTAGAAAGGGGACAAATACAACAGAATTTCATTAGAAGAATTTTCCTTTGAACTGGAGCCAAATGGCTTCATCATTGGGTGGCAAGTTCCAGGACCATCTCAAGCAGTGCTGGGTCTGTTTTCATCTGTGTTCTCAGATCACTTAGCTTGATTCTTGAACTAAGTGAAGCAGGACCTCTGTTGCTGGGAGCAGAAGAGAACTTGTTCCCAGTTTTTGGCACCTTCTAAGACCCTCAGCAAATGGAAAATGGAGGCGACCCACCTACCACAGACCCTCAAGGGAGGTTAATGAGCTGCTCTGTCCGAACTGATTAGTATTGAAGCCACTGTTCCATGCCTACTGCTGTCCCCTCAGCAGCATCTGGATCCCAGGAACCTCAGGCCAACATAGAGTGTGTCCTAGCCACAATGAAGGCCTTGAACTCACAGAGGTCCACCTGCCTCTGCTTCCCTCAGTGTTGGGATTAAAGGCATAAGCCACCACCTCCCAGCCTGAAGGTTATTTCCTATAAGAGCTTTTGGGTTTGCCATTTAAAAATTGTAATCACACCGGGCAGTGGTGGCACACTTTTAATCCTAGTGCTCTGGAGACAGAGGCGGGTGGATCTCCTGAATTTCCAGAGAAACCCTGGAAATTAGAAACTTAGGAAAGTTAGAGACTTTTCCTGCCTACTTAGCTGAGAGGTCTACCCAGTAGGGATGATGACAGTTAGGTCCTCGAGTGTAAAGACCAATGCTCACTATATCCCCGACAGGTTTTTGTTTTGAGACAGGATCTTGCTATGTAGCTTTGGCTGCTCCTATATTCGCTATGTGGACAATGTTGGCCTTGAGCTCCCAAGTACTGAAGACCTACACCACCATACCCAGTTGTTTTGATTTTTTTTTATATTTATTATTTATTAGGTATATATTATTCTGTTTGCTTGTATGCCTGCAGGCCAGAAGAGGGCACCAGACCTCATTACAAATGGTTTTGAGCCACTATGTGGTTGCTGGGAATTGAACTCAGGACCTTTGGAAGAGCAGGCAATGCTCTTAACCACTGAGCCATCTCTCCAGCCCCCCCCCTTTTTTTTTTTTTTTAAAGCAGGATATCTCTACATAGCTCTGGCTGTTCTTGAAAGTTCTGTGTAGACCAGGCTGGCCTCAACTCTGCGACCCAAATATTAGGATAAAGTTGTGGCCCATCTTTCGCGGCCTGATTCTGTCTTTTTTGATCGGGCAATTTGTGAAGGACCTACAAGGAACTAGATTTTAATTCACACGGGTTTTTACGCTTGGCAAGATACTGAGCTAGGAGTGCTGCAGGAAGAAAAGCTGTGCCTTACTTAAAGTTCCTGTTTCGGTGGAGCTTACATTCCATTTTCTATTTCGTCATAATCCATCGTAGAGTCGAGGAAAGCTGGGAGGACTTAGGCCTGCGGCTGGCAAGGAGTTCAGCTGCGACTTACAAGCTGCCGGGATCTCAGCAGGGACTGTGAGCCGTTATTCCCACTGAGGCCAGGTCTCCATTCTTCTGTGTAGCCCTCGTCCCTGCTCTGAGTTCAGGGCTATAGCCACCAGCTCGGCTCTAGGGAGACCCGCGAATCATCGGGCACGGTGGAGAAGCGGGAAGGCGGGGCCGGCCAGCAAGCCAACGAGCCCGGAGCTCCGGCTGTGGGCGGGCCTCGAAAGGCCTGGCCCCACCCCCGCGAGGCCGTCCTGCTTCTGCGCAGGCGCGGAGAGCGCGTTCCCGCCCCGCGGTACCGCCCACATCCTGGGGACGTCGGCAGCGCGCGACGTGCTTCGCCGGATAAATGCGGTGGCGCCGGTGGTAGGAGAGCTTCTGTCTTGAGCGCCGGAGCGTTCGGGCGTTTGGTGGCGTCAGGTACTGAGCCTGAGTCCGCCTCTGTACCTGCCTGTGCCATGGCGGACGAAGGGAAACCATACAACGGTTAGTGCGGGGCCTCGGGCCGGGAGGCGGCGCGGTGGGCCGGAGTGGGCGGCCCCGGCCTAGGCCGCAAGCCCGGGGGCGGGAGGCCGCGAGGAGCTCTGCGTTCATGGGCATTGGTGGCCGCGCGGGCAGGGGGCACGGGGCGCCGCGGGACCCGGGGGCTCCAGACTCGCTCAGATTCTGGCGTAGGAGGACCTGTGGCTCAGGGGTGGGGTGACAAGATTCCTTTGAACTTCGAGGGTGGTTGATGCCTGTCAATTCAGTTTGGCGGCCCGACTCTTCTTTTAAATGTGAGTCAGTAGTGCCTTGTTCGTGGGCTGGCTGCTCTGGTCCTCCGGTCAGGCGGTTTTGCAGCTTGCTCCTTAATGTTTACCAGTTTTCTAGCCCTAACAACTACCCTGACTTGTTAATTCGTCGTGGTGGTGAGGACAGTATGACAGCTGAGGTTTAACTCTCGAGTTGGCTGTGCTAACCCCAGTGAGTTAAGCGCTAAGGTCTTGTTTTCTACCTCTTTCATGTGTGTACCTGTCTTCCCAAGTTTGTGGTGTGTGTCAATGAGATCTTTTCTACCAAGGACCTGGAACACAGTGACTCGAAGTGGAGATTATTCAATGAACCTTAGTTGCACTGTTTCTTTATCTTACTCCTTTTCGCTAGGGTCACTTGGTTGAGGGTCTTTGTTTTCAGGACGCTGGATATTAGGTAGATTTTTCTTGAAGTTATGAACCTTTTTGTGTTTGTGTGGTGCTGATTTATCCAGGGCCTGAAAAATCCTCAGCCCAGTAAACCTTTATTTTAATTGAAATATAATTATATGCTGGATAGTGGTGGCCCACGCCTTTGATTCCATCACTTGGGAGGCAGAGGCAGGCAGATCTCTAAGGGTTTTTTGTTTTGTTTTGTTTTCCCCAAGACAGTGTTTCAATGTAGCTTTGGATCCTGTCCTGGAACTGCCTCTTGTAGAATAGGCTGGCCTCGAACTCAGAGAGATCCTCCTGCCTTTGCCTCCCGAGCGCTGGGATTAAAGGTGAGTGCCACCACCAACTGTCCAAATCTCTGTAAGTTCGAGACCAGCCTGGTCTACAAACTGAATTCCAGGACAGCTACACAGAGAAACCCTGTCTCAAAAAACCTCTGTGTGTCGAGGCCAGCCTGGTCTACAGAGCTAGTTCCAGGACAGGCTCCAAAGCCACAGAGAAACCCTGTCTCGAAAAACCAAAAAAAAAAAAAAAAAAACCTCTGTGTGTGTGTGTGTGTGTGTGTATTTTAACATGATCTCCCTCCAATCACTTCCATGTCTTGCCCCTCCCCCAAATTCATACAACCTGCTGAGTCCATTTAGTGTTACTTGCATGTACTTGTTTTTAAGGCTAACCATTTGGGTTGAATAACCATTTAGGGACTCATTACTGGGAAAGGCTAATTATCCCTAATAGGGTCAGCCTTAGTACCCCAGGCTGGCCTTATAGTCTTTCTGTGCCTACTTCCCAAGTTTGGTATTGCAAACATGTGCCACCATGCCTGCCTCACACACTTATTTATTTTGTGCTGGGAGTTGAACACAAGGCCTTGCATTGTGCCTGGCAATCCCCTTCCACAGAGCTATAGTCCCATCCCATCCTTTTTTGATATCTTTTTTAAGTTGCCCAGACTGACTTGAGGTTTCAAATTCTCCTGCCTCAGTCTCAGTCTGGTGATCTTTTTGTGTGTGTGAAGGATAGGTAAAGCACTTTATGTACTGAGCTGTACCCTCAGCCCTCCTTTTGTGTATGTGTCTAAATATATATACACACAAATACATATATGTAGACACAGAGAGAGACAGACTGACAGGGTCTCAGTCCCAGTCTGGCCTTGAACTCTACCTATGAGAGAATGAACTTGAGCCTCTCTGATCATCTTGCATTAAAAACAGTGTACTAGGGGGCTAGAGAGATGGCTCAGTGGTTAAGAGCATCGCCTGCTCTTCCAAAGGTCCTGAGTTCAATTCCCAGCAACCACATGGTGGCTCACAACCATCTGTAATGAGGTCTGGTGCCCTCTTCTGGCCTGGAGACATACACGCAAAACAGAATATTGTATACATAATAAATAAATAAATATTAAAAAAAAACAGTGTACTACTACGCTTGGTTTTATTTACTTACCTTCCCTGTCCCCTTTCTTTCTTTTTTAAATTTTGAGACAAAGTTTCAATGTGTAGCTCTGACTGTTGTTCTGGAACTCACTGTGTAGACCAGGCTGGCCTTGAAAACTCAAGAGATCTGCCTGCCTCTGTAACTCTTGGGATTAAAGTTGTATGTACCTATGTCCAGCTTACTTTCCTTTTTAAAGCAGGAGCTTAACTGATATGGAACTTGAAATCCTCCTGCTTCAAACACGGTTTGTATTAGAGAACATTCCAGGACCCTGATACGGAAATATCACCAGACCCCGAATCTATAAGTCCCTTGAGGTGCAGGGCATTTCTGCTCAAAGAAACTAGCATTTTTTAAATTCAGAGTAACAGTTTAAGAGCAAGGAGGTAGTGATTATTATTAGGGGGTCTTAAATAGGTCATATTTGTACATTTTTTTTGTTTTTTGCATTTGTATGTATGGCAAAAGATCAAAAATTTCAAAAGGTTTCCATGTATTGATATTTTATTTGACTTTTATTTTAATAAATAAAGCTTGCCTGAAGTTCAGAGAGTAAAGCAGCCACACTGGTCAGCCTTACAGACCAGGCAGTGGTGACACACACCTTTAATCTCAGTAGTCACACTAGTTTGCCATAGAAACCAGTTGGTAGTGGTGCACACCTTTAATCCCAGCACCAGAGTGGAATATAAGACAAAAGGAGACAGCTCTCAGACACAGTCTCATTTAGAGATTTCTGGAGGCAAGATCACAATTTCAGACTGAGGTAAAGGTAAAAGCCACTGGCTGGGTATTTTGCTTTTCTGACCTTCAGGTTGAACCCCAATTTTTCTCTCTGATTTTTATTAATCGTGCTACATTTCCAGGTGTCAGGTTACATTTCCATGTTTTTTGTTTTTGTTTGCATAAAGGAACTTGTTTCTGCTTAACTTTTTTCTTTTTTTTTTTGACAATTTTATACATATACATAATGTGATATATTTATACACATATGTATATATACATAATTGTGATATATTCACCTTTTGTTACTATTTTAAGGATTTGTTTATTTTATTTTTCTGTATCTGGATATTTTGCTTGCATGTATGTGTCTAGTGCGTGCAGAGCCCAGAAAAGGGTACTGGATTTCCTGGAAGTAACTACAAAGGCTACTTCCATACAGACACCTGTGCCCTGGCCAGAGGAAAGAACTTTTTATAGGACATCAACATCAGGACCAAGTTATTGAAAAACTATAGGGATACTGAATATCGAAGAGTCAAGAATGTACCTTGGGCTGGAGAGATGACTTTAGAGCTACTCTTCCAGAGGACCAGGTTTGATACCCAGTATCCACATGGCAGAGCACAGTTGTGAGAAGCTATGTGGGTACTAGGAACCAATTTTGGTTCCTCTAAAAGAACAGCAGGTACTCTAATTATTGAGCCATCTCTTCAGCCTCTTAATCCACTGATTTCGAAGGTTGTTCATATGAACTTGTAGAGAGAATTCCCACACCCACCATGCCTTTTTAAACTTTTAATTTGTTTTAAGACAGGATCTCATGTAGCCTAGGTTGGGTTTAAATTTGGTATGTAGGGGCAAATGATCTTGAATTCCTGATTTCCTGCCTCTACCTCCCAGCTGTTGGTATAATAAACATGGTCTACCATACCCAAATGGAAAATTCTCCTTTTGCTGTTGTTGTTTGTCTGTTTTGAAGCGATGCTAGGGATTAAACCCAGGTCCTTGAGTGTGCTAGGCATGCACTCTACCACTGAGCTACATTTTTTTCCTTTTTGACTTTTTTTTAATCCATATGAGTGTTTTGCCTGCTTGTATATCTGTATACCACGTGAGGGCCTGGCGTGGGGTGCCCATGGCAGCCTCAGGAATGACATTATGGACAATTGAGCATGGCAGTGTGGGTGCTGGGAATCAAAGCTGGTCCTCTAGAAGACTGGCCAGTGCTCTTAAATGTGGTGCCTAGCCCAGTAGTCATCAGAGACTACTCCTCCAGCCGCTGGTGGGAGCAGGTGTAGGGACCCACACCCAAACATTAGGCAGAGCTCAAGGAACCCCATAGACGAGGGGGAGGAAGGATTGTAGGAGGCAGAGGAGTTGAGGATTCCACCAGAACACGGCCCATAGAATCAATTAAGCAGAGCTCATAGGGGCATGGAGACTGAAGCAGTGATCATGAAGCCTGCATGGGTCTGTGCTAGGTCCTCTACGTGCATGTTATGGTTGTTTAGATTTGGAGTTTTTGTGAGACTCCTAACAGTGGGAGATGGGATGTTTCTGACTCTCTTGTCTGCTCTTAGGACCCTTTTCCTACTTCTGGGTTGCCTTGTCAAGTCTTTTTGTTTGTTTGTTTTGTTTTTCAAGACGGCATTTCTCTGGTTGCTTTGGAGCCTGTCCTGGAACTACCTCTTGTAGACCAGGTTGGCCTTGAACTCCCAGAGATCCACCTGCCTCTGTCTCCCTAGTGCTGGGATTTAAAGGAGTGCGCTACCACTGCCCAGTACTTGCAAGTCTTAATATGAGGGTTTTATCTTGTCTTACTGTGTCTTGTTATGCTGTTTGTTTAACATCACTGGAAGACCTGCTCATTTCTGGGGAGGAGGAAACTGGGAAGAGTGGTGGGAGGGAAAGCTATGGTTGGTATGTACTGTATGAGAAAAGAATAAATTTAAAAAAAAAAAATCATCTTGCCAGGTGGCTGGGGGTGCACTCAGGGAAGCAGAGGGAGGTGGATCTCTGAGTTCAAGGATAGTCAGGGCTACATAGAGAAGCCCTGTATCAAAAAACTAAACCAGGGGCTGGAGAGATGGCTCAGTGGTTAAGAGCACTGACTGCTCTTCCAGAGGTCCTGAGTTCAATTCCCAGCAACCACATGGTGGCTCACAACCATCCGTAATGAGATCTCATGCCCTCTTCTGTCCTGCAGGCATACATGCAGGCAGAACACTGTATACATAATAAATAAGTCTTAAAGGGGGGCGGGGGAGGCAAAACAAAGAATAAGTCATCTTTCCAGCCCCTTGAGGTACATTACTGACCCTTTTATTTTTCAATAGCCCTGCAGTTTTCCAGTAACTTGTTCTTGATGTTGACGTCCTACAGAAAGCTTTTTACTCTGTCTAGGGCATAGGTATGGAGGTAGTCTTTGTAGTCAGTATGTCTTTCTCAGGAGTACAGACAGTGGCTGCAGACCACTGATGTATTACCAATTTCTGTATCTGTTTCTGATTCCAGAGCATGATGACCGTGTTAGTTTCCCTCAAAGAAGAAAGAAAGGCCGGGGCCCTTTCCGATGGAAGTGTGAGGGGAACCGTCGGTCTGGAAGGGGTGGTTCTGGTATACGATCCTCCCGGTTTGAGGAAGATGATGGAGATGTGGCAATGAATGATCCCCAAGATGGCCCCCGAGTAAGATAGTAAGTGACTAATTGTTCTGCTTTAAATAGTGGCCCACTGAAATATATTTTATATATATATATATATTCTTTCTTGTCTCACTTTGTAAAGCGGTACTTGATCAAACCAATTTAGTAGCTGTAGTCTTTCGTTAGTAGGTCAGGTTCATCTTTCCTAGTGTTTATGGAAATTTAATTCTGCTTCCCAACAGCAACCCTTATCCCAATCGGCCTAACCGTCAGGGGGATACTTGGCATGAGCGAGATCGAATTCATGTTACTGTAAGGAGAGACAAAGCTCATCCAGAGAGAGGAGGGGCTGGGACTAGCCAAGATGGGACCACCAAGAACTGGTTCAAGATTACAGTGAGTACCTTGGGAGAGTAGATGATTTGGGGAATGGGACTGGACTCTGTAAAGGTGTTTGACACTCACCCCCAGCTCCTCAAATCCATGTAGTCCAGTGTTTACTCAACAATCAAGTATCACATTTATCCACCCTTTCCTCTTGGAATGAGTTTCTTAAGAACGGGGGGGGGGGGGGGGGCTGGAGAGGTGGCTCAGAGGTTAAGAGCACTGACTGCTCTTCCAGAGGTCCTGAGTTCAATTCTCAGCAACCACATGGTGGCGCAAAAACATCTGTAATGAGATCTGTCACCCTCTTCTGGCGTGCAGGCATACATGCAGGCAGAATGTTGTATACATAATAAATAAATAAATCTTTAACAACAACAACAACAAAAAAGAACAGGGACGGGGCTGGAGACATGGCTCAGAGGTTAAGAGCACTGGCTGCTCTTCCTAGAGGACCTGAGTTCAATTCCCAGCAACCACGTTGTGACTCACAACCATCTGTAATGAGATCCGATGCCCTCTTCTGGAATGCAGGCAGAACAGTGCTCACATAATAAATGAATGAATGAATGAATGAATCTTTTAAAAAAAAGAACATGGCTAAAAGGGAGTTGAGGGTAGGCACAATGACAATTGGAAGGGGAATCTGCTGAGTGTGCTCAGGAGGGTCAGGAGGTAGAGAAACACTTAAGCTAAGAATGGCTTATGTGGCTGTGGAGTTTCTGTGGGGCAGGTAAAGCACATATCTTAGGATTTAGAATTAATACATTTGATGTGTGGCCATGTAGTCTGAGGCATCTTGCCAAAAATAATAAGTATATGGAAAAGATTTTTAAGGAACTTTTTGTATCTCAAATGGAAACCTACATCTGGTCCTTTCTTTTTTACTTTTTTTTTTTTTTCCCCAGAATTTTCAAGACAGGGTTTCTCTGTAACAGTCCTGGCTGTCCTGGAAGTCACTTTGTAGACCAGGCTGGCCTCGAACACACAAATCCACCTGCCTCTGCCCTTTTAGTGCTGGGATTGAAGGCGTGTGACAACACGCCTAGTACATCTGATCCTTTCTTTAGGAGCAGGAGGCTGGTAGAGCCAGCCTCTTGTATATAAGCATGTGTCATGCCTTCTATCACTGAGCCTCATGCATGCCATGTTAAGTATGTCTTCTATCTTTGAGCTCCACTCTAGAGCTCTAGAAATCTTTTCAGTCTTGGCAGAAAATACAGAAGGAGAACTGAAATGTACTGTCCTTCTCTCTCACTTCCAGATTCCTTATGGTAAAAATCTTTTCAGTCTTGGCGGAAAATACAGAAGGAGAACTGAAATGTACTGTCCTTCTCTCTCACTTCCAGATTCCTTATGGCAAAAAGTATGACAAAGCATGGCTCCTAAGCATGATTCAGAGCAAGTGCAGTGTCCCTTTCAACCCTGTTGAGGTAAGACGAGGTCAGGCTTGGGAGGCTGGCCAAAAGCCTGTGGACTCCAAATCTAATGTTCTTGTTTTTCCTTCTTCTAGTTTCACTATGAACACACACGGGCCCAGTTTTTTGTAGAAGATGCCAGTACTGCTTCTGCATTAAAGGCTGTCAACTGTAAGATTCACGATCGAGAAAACAGAAAGGTATGTTAGATAAAGGGCCAGAGGTGTGGGATAGGTTGATGCTGATGTACTGAGTAAAAAGGACTAAGTATTAGTTCTGGGGACAGACTTATTTCACGTATATTCTTGCCTGTCTGTGTTCTCTTCAGATATCCATCATCATCAACGCCTCTGCTCCACCCCGCACCGTACAGCTTGAACTGAAGCCTGAACAAATAGAGCAGCTCAAGGTGAGTCCAGCGTAAGTGGTACAGCAGTCCTTAAATCTCCTTCGGTGAGCACTAAACCCTTTCTCTATTTTCTTTCCTCTAGCTGGTCATGAGCAAACGATATGATGGCTCCCAGCAAGCACTTGACCTCAAGGGCCTCCGCTTAGACCCAGGTATGGCTGACAGTAGTGGTCCTGACTAGATGGAGGGGGGAGCAATCGGTCTTTATAAACACTGAGGTTGGCAAGCCCTCTCATACTTTTCTTTGTGTTTACTGAAGATTTGGTTGCCAACAATGTTGATGCTGTCCTAAACCGCAGAAACTGTATGATGGTCACCCTGCGGATCATTGAAGAGAACATTCCTGAGGTAAAGCAAAGTGGGATAAACAGGGTAGGGTGAGGGACCAGAGTTACCCTTGCTCTGTGTGTGGTAATACTTGTAAACTTTGTTCTGTTCACAGCTATTGTCTTTGAACTTGAGCAACAACAAACTATACAAGCTGGATGATATGTCCAGTATTGTACAGAAAGCGCCAAATCTAAAGACCTTAAATCTCTCTGGAAACCAAGTGAGGACCAAAAACATCGTGTTGCTTTTATTTTTTAATACTTAGTTGTTACAAGTGAGTGGAAGTCGGAGAACAACTTTTGGGAGTTGGTTCTCTTCTTCCACTGTGGGTTCTTTTGTTGGAACTTGGGTTGTGAGGCTTGTGCAGCAAGAACTTGTGCCCCACTGAGCCATCACACACTGACCCTGGCTGGCTTCATTGCTACAATGGTGGGGGTGAGAAGAGTTTGGCTGACCATGGTGGGAGGCAAGAAAGACAACTTAGGTAGGTTGGGAGTGTGGAGATCCAGCTGCTATCCTTACTAGGGTCTCTTTTTTCCCTTTTGCCTCCCCTTATCCTTCATAGTTGAAGTCTGAGCGGGAATTAGACAAAATAAAAGGGCTGAAGTTGGAAGAGCTGTGGCTTGACAGAAACCCCATGTGTGATAACTTCCGAGACCAGTCTACCTATATCAGGTCAGTTGTAGCCTCTGTCTCCCCTCCTGGGGACCTTCACCCCCTTGGAGGCTGAGCTAATGCACCCTGACCAGTGCCCGTCTACAGGAGAACATGCAGCCCTGAGCTGGAACCACCTGTCCTTTGGGAGGAGGATCACGTACTCCTTTCTGCCTCTCTGTGTCTCTCACCTTTGTCCCAGATCTCCTTTCTTTCCTTCTTGCCCACCTACTGTTCTCTGGCCTTTTTTCTTCCTTCTTGAACACAGCCTTTTCTAGATTCTCCCTATCTGTTGTTCCAGGAAGGACACCTCCTTTTCTGTTCTGATGTGGGGGTGTCATATATATGTCCCACCCATATGATTGTCTTCACCCAAAAGCCTAGTATACTCAGGGTGAGAAAGTCCTCACTAACTGGGACTACCTACTGAGGTAGACCTTTCCTTGTTTGTCCTTTGATGTTCCCTCTTGCCATTATGCCAAGAGGGACTCTTTCCATGATTGACTTATTCAAGGCTGTGGCCTGGTCTTTCCTGTTCGTGCTGAGGTTGATGCCTCTTGGAGGCTGCTACCATGCTATTGGTCTCTCTTGCCCAGTGCTGTGAGCTGGGCTCTTCTGGAGAAGAAACCTGGGCTCCCTAAGATGTGACCTAAGCCGGGGCCCCACCAGGAGGCGTGGGGATCCCAAGGCAGGTGCTGGGCGTGGAGGCCACAGGGGCATCTGCTACCAAGGAGACAAAGAAATGACCCTGTCAGGGGCATTGCCCCTTCCTCACTTGCATACCTCACATCAGCCTGTTTGGCCCCGGAGGATGGCTGGTTAGCCAGAGACGGGTAAGATTCCTCAGGGAAGGAACAACCTAAGACAGGCACAGTCGCAGAGGGGCCATCAGGAGAGAACTTGGGGGCCAACTGAGGTGGGGCATAGACCCTCACCCCCCCAACTCGGCAGGAGCCTAAACCCTCATGTCTTCTGAGGGAGGTCTTCTGGCCCCATGGCTGCTTTACTTCCCACGCCTAGCTCAGACCTGGACCCAGGGAGCAGACAGAGACCTGGCCAACAGCAAGCGACTACAAGCCACTATAATAGGATTTGTTCTTCATTTCTACCTTGGAACCACAGGAAAGGGGCAGCTGAAGGAAAGGGCTGTATCAGAAGGTCTTTCTTTCTCCCTATCCCTTTCTTTTCTAAGTGCCTTTGCCTTCAGTTCTGTCTCTGTTGCTTTGCTTCCTCTCCTTATCTCCCCATGTCTTCCTGTCCTTGCCCTGCCCTGCCTACTTTCTCTTTTTCTCTTCTCCTTTCCCTTGGTCTCTTCTCTTGCCTTCTTTTCTCTTGAGCCCTGTCTTGCTCATCTCCCTGCCCCAACATCCTGTGCCATACTTGTGGTGTGTTCTGGTCTTGGCCAAGGCCAGACCTGGCAGAACTGGTGGATACCTGTTGAGGCAGCGGAGCCCCTGGGCTCCCACCCTATTCCCTCCTCCCGGGGCTGCACAGGTGAGTAGGTGGAAGGTAAGGGGGGCAAAGTGGGGAAGGCAGCCCTAGGCTTAAAGCTTGGGCTGAGTGTTCTTCCCGTGGCACTCGGGATCAGGTACTGAGAAGAGACAGCCAGCCTTCAAGGCAATCCAGAGGGGTACCCCTTGTGAGGAAGGGAATTGGGGTTCTTATCTATCTCCAAGTGCAGATTGGGAAGGAGTGGGCGATGAGGATGGGATGGGCTGTTCCTCGGGTTTTTGGTGTATTTGCTCCTAGAGCAGCCCAGGAGGCATGATGGCTCTGAAGCGTCACTTACTTCTGTCCCGTTCTTGACAGCGCCATTCGCGAACGATTTCCCAAGTTATTACGCCTGGTAAGTTCAACAGTTCATTCTCAGGCCTGATGGTGATGGTGCATGCCTTTAATCCCAACACCTGGGAGTCAGAGGTAGGACAGATCTCTGTGAATTCAAGTCTAGCCTGTTGTACTAGTGCTAGTTCCAGGACAGGCTCCAAAGTTACAGAAAAACAAAACAATTTGTTCTCTTCTAACAAGCACAACTGAGGTCTTGCCTCTGTTTTGTGACTCCCAGTGTAGATCCCAATGAGTAGATCCCTTTTGAGAATATGCTAACAGTGGTAGCCATCATCCTAGAAAAGTTCACACCAGATTCCTGCACACTCTTTATGCCTTTTTTTTTTTTTTTTTTTTTTTGGTTTTTTCGAGACAGGGTTTCTCTGTATCTTTATGCCGTTTTATGATTGACTTCTGACTCTGCTCTTTGCTCTTTTGTGTGCTAACAAATTAAGTCTTCTGCTTCACATGTTACATTCACTGTTTCCACAGGATGGCCACGAGTTACCCCCTCCAATTGCCTTTGATGTTGAAGCCCCCACAATGCTACCACCCTGCAAGGTCAGAATTGGGGATAGAATTATAAACTCGTGAGTGGAAAGCATACTGGTCCTGTCATCCTAATGTCTTGTTTTATTTCAGGGAAGCTATTTTGGAACAGAAAACTTAAAGAGTTTGGTCCTGCACTTCTTGCAGCAGTGAGTATCCCAGGGGCCCTTAGGGCTGGGGATAGTGACTGGCCTATGCATAGCTCACTACTGTGTTGCTTTGGTTTTAGACACAACTCAGACTCTTCCTTTCACTTTCCTTACAGGTACTATGCAATTTATGACTCAGGAGACCGCCAGGGTCTCCTAGATGCCTACCATGATGGGGCCTGTTGCTCACTAAGCATTCCACCGAACTCTGTCCGGTGAGTGTCACATGTCAAAACCTAGAACCACAGGGTTTTTTGGTAGATACAGGCTACTCTTCTGACCACCACCATATTCCTCCCTATTTTCCAGAACCAACTTATCTGAATACTTCAAAGACAGCAGAAATGTGAAGAAGCTTAAAGATCCCAGTAAGTATATCGTGTGAGCAGTCAGAGTGAGAGACAGTCAGGAGAGCTAGCCAGGGCAGACACGTGTGCCCTAACTTTGGTTTCTCTTCCTTCTACTTGCAGCCCTGCGGTTCCGGCTATTAAAGCATACACGTCTCAACGTTGTTGCCTTCCTCAATGAGTTACCCAAAACTCAACATGACATCAATTCCTTTGTGGTAGACATAAGTGCCCAAACAGTAAGCACATACTCTCCTGACAGAAGCCCAGAACTGGGGTGGGGAATGGGTTTAGCACTCCTTGGGTGAGGAGGCCCAAGCTCTGGTTAGGAACCTTCTTTGCTTCAGGTGCTTTTTTCTCTTTCAGAGCACATTGCTGTGTTTTTCTGTCAATGGAGTCTTCAAGGAAGGTAAAAATCTTGAGTCCTGAACCTTTCTCCGATCCTTCGTTTCCCAGCTATCTTCTTAGCCCTTTTCTGCTCTGACCTTCCTACTTTATCCAAAGCATCTTGGATTGATCTTATCTCCTACCTGTCTTAGATGCAGTGTGACAAAAACCTAGGGACCAGAACAATGTAGATGGAAAAGTCAGACAGGTCTCCATTTCCATCCCTGTGTTTATTCTGTGGGTCTAGCAAAGTTACAGTACCTCAGAACCATTCTTTTCTTCTGTTTTGTTAGACGAGGTTCATAATACTCTTGCATAGTGGTGCTTTAGGAACTGAAATGACTTCAGATACCTTTGCCAAGCCACAGGATCAAGACTTTCAAAGTTTCACTTACTTCCTGTTCCTGTCCTCCTTGATCTGTCCCTTCATTCCACCTCTGTTCTTCTGTGTCCTAATAACCATCCTTACCTGACCATGATGTGAGAACCTTTTGTACACATCAAGCTTGAGTGACTCTAAGGAGCCATTGCTGCTGTTCTCATTGCAGTGGATGGGAAGTCTCGAGACTCTCTACGTGCTTTCACGAGAACATTCATTGCTGTTCCTGCCAGCAATTCAGGGTAAGTGCTCAGCTTATCACATTGGGCATCAGTCTCAGTCTCACACCAGTAGTGTGATAAGTGGAAAGAATTATTCCTCAGGGAGTTAGCAGAATTGTAGAAAAGCAATAAATATGAAGTTCATGAAGCTTGAGTAACAACTATAATAATTCTAATGTGTTTGGGAGATAATCCTCCTAAATACGTAGTCTGTAGTCAAATGATGAAAGGTAACATTAGATGGGCACCAGATCTGAGAACAGAGACAATGTAGAAGTGAGAGGTTGTCTTATTTATTTAAAATGTTCTTTGTCCCCAAGGTTATGTATTATAAATGATGAATTATTTGTGCGGAATGCCAGCCCTGAAGAAATCCAAAGAGCCTTCGCCATGCCTGCACCTGCACCCACACCTTCGTCCAGTCCAGTACCCACGCTCTCCCCAGAACAACAGGAAATGTTGCAAGCATTCTCTACCCAGTCTGGCATGAACCTCGAGTGGTCCCAGAAGTGAGTGCCGAGCATGGATAGGACCAAGAGAAAACAGCCAAAAAAGATTTCCACCAAGACTTCTGCATAAATTATATAATTCCAAAGCAGTTGGGCAGTGGTGGCACACACCTTTAATCCCAGCACTTTTGGGAGCCAGAGGCAGGCGGATCTCTGTGAGTTTGAGGCCAGCCTGGTCTACAAGAGCTAGTTCCAGGACAGGTTCCAAAGCTACAAAGAAACCCTGTCTTGGGGGGGGGGGGGGATTCCAAAGCACAAATTAAGAATGAATTGTTGCCCTTTCGCTTACATGTTGCTCCCTTCTCCCCACAGTAAAATTAGGGATTAAACCTAGACTTCAGACTTTATATATGCTAGGCACTCTACCACCAAGCTAATTTCCCTGGCCACCTTTTTTATTGAGACAGGGTTACACTATGTACTTGTACTTGTCTGGCCTTGAACTCATAGAAACCTGCCTGCGTCTTCCTCCAGAATGGTGTGGCTAAAAGCATGAGCTATTGCTACCCAGTCCTCTTTTTACTTGTCATTCAATTTGAGACAAGGTCTCATTAAGTTACCAGAGCTGTTCTTGAACTCTTACCAAGCCCCGGACTGCAGTAATCCTCATCATTTCAAGGGAGGTGGGACTATAGGTGCATACCTGGAGCAAGAGTCCTCTTATATATGGTTCTGCAACAGTTTTGTTTTGAAACAGGGTCTTGCTATGTGCTTTGGCTGCCTGAGAGTCACTGTGTAGCTCAGAATTGCCTCCGACTCAGTGATTCCCACCTACTCCTGCCTCCTGAATGGTGGGATGGGATTAAAGGCCTGCACCATCTTGCCATCCTGCAACTTAGTTTTTAAATTATGTAAATCCTTCCATTCCAGTGTAAAATTTTGGTCATTTTTGTTAGACATTTTAATGTTTCATTTGCATAAGTGGTGCAACAAAGTATAAACTTAGTGAAAAACTTGGGTGAAGTTCTTCATGACATGGATTATAGAATGAAGACATCTTCCCCCTTGAGTAGTCAGATTCTCACGTGGTTTCCTATTCTAATCTCACTTCAGGTGCCTTCAAGACAATAACTGGGACTACACCAGATCTGCTCAGGCCTTCACTCATCTCAAGGTAGGGTATGGGAATTTTGTGGCTAGAACCAGGGATCTCTGAGCTTTTCAAAAGGGTCAAATGAAGGCTGGGTGTGGTGGGCTTGTCATTAGTCCCAGCCCTTGGGAGGTAGAGGTAGCCAGATTGAAACTGAGGCCAGCCTGGTCTATATAGAGTTCCAGGACAGCAGGGTGTGGGATGGGGAGTGTCAAATGAGCTGGTGAGAAAGGAATCATCTGGCTCTACTTACCTGTTCTCTTTCTGCAGGCCAAGGGAGAGATTCCAGAAGTAGCGTTTATGAAATGATCACAGGAAAAGCCCCCTTGTAAATAGCCCTTGGATAATATTGTCTGGCTGTCTGTCATCTGCCGTCTCCTGTGCAGCACCGAGGCCAGCCTGTAACTGTGACTGAGGAGGGAGGGCTGCCTCATCCTCCTCACCTACCTTCTGGAAGACTTACAGAAGACTTCCGGAAGATTGAGCCTCATGGTGCCAGGAAGCCAAAGCTTACTTTGTAGAGCTGACACTAAACTACCCGAAGGACTTAGGTGCTCTGTGTACTTAACCCCAGATTCCCTTTACTTTTTAAGATAAAGAGTGATATTGTAGTTTGTGTCCTATTACTGGCTTGTTTTCCCTCGCTGCAGGAAGGGGTGGGAGAATGTGTCGTAACAGGAAGTCCCGCCCCGGGGACGGAAGTGCCGCGCTATGGCGGCACCTTGGTGGCGGGATGTCCGCGGTCTGTTTTCCTTGCTGCGGTCCCAGCCTGTGTACCGGCATTTGCAAAATGAGGTCCCACGAGATGTGCTGCTCTTCCGAAATGAACGGGGTCGCTTCTTTGCCACCCTTGGACTATTCTGTGCCGGCCAGGGCATCTTCTGGACCTCTCTGGCTGTTGCAGCCTTGTCCCGACCTCTTATCCGAGGTCCTGCGGAGGCTCCCAACCAGGGCAACACCGACCTGCGCTCTGCACTCTGGCGCTACGGGCTAGCTGTTGGTTGCGGCACGATGGGTAAGGGCATGGGCTTCAGGTTGCCGTGGGGCTGTGAGCACAAAACTCAATGAAGGGTTCCCAATCCTGGATGAGCGGAAATGTAAGCGGGATATCCAGTACAGTTGCGATGAAAGTCCGTGAATGCTTTGCTCTCCAACTCCCCACCTCCGCCCCACACACCATAAGCCAAGGTCTGCCCTTCCCTCTGGCCGTGAGCAGGCTACTGAAGCCACTGGCTCACTTTCTCCCTTTAACGACGAAGCTGGCCATCTATAAGAACGTCAGTATGGCTCAATTTGTAGAGTGCTCGCCTAAGGCATGAGGCCTTGGATTCAATCCCCAGCACTGCATAAACTGTACATGGTGGCACCCAGATGTAATATTAGCATTTTGACAGTGGAGGGAGGAAGTTTTTCTGTATAACTCTGGCTGTCCTGGAACTCACGCTGAAGAACAGGCTGGCCTCGAACTCAGATCCTCCTGCCTCTGCCTTCTGAGTGCTCAGATTAAAGTTGTGCACTACTACTGCTTAACTTGTCTAAGTGATAGGTTTAGAATTAGAAACACAAAATTCTGTTAGAGCCATTACAGCAATGTGTTGCTCTAACAGGGGTCTGTATAATCCTTTACCCCACTTTGCTTCTCCTGCAGGAACCTTGGTCCTGGGTGCTGGTCTTCTCTACTCTCTCCGATCTGTGCGTTCAGTCATGCTCCTTGCAGGAGGGCAGCAAGTGACACTCACCACTTATGCCCCCTTTGGCTTGGGGACCCGTTTCACAGTTCCCTTGAACCAGGTTTCCTGCATGGCCCACAGAGGTGAAGTTCCTGCCATGCTGCCTCTGAAAATTAAAGGCCGACGCTTCTACTTCCTTTTGGACAAAACTGGACACTTTCCCAACACTCAACTCTTTGACAACACTGTGGGTGCCTACCGGAGCCTGTGAAAAGTGGCTTACCCTTCTCAGATGAGGATGCAAACCCTCAAGATGAGACAACCAAGCCAGGGCAATGAAAACGCACCCAGGATTCACTACTAGCCAATAAATCTGTCTTCTAAAGGGCCCGATAAGCCATCATTCTGTCTTCTCTCCCATCTATTTTCTTTCACATTAAGAACGCTATACCATGATGAAGAAAAGTAATATATATTATTTTGGTACAAAAAGAAATGTTAAGGTGAAAAGGTATGGCGGGGGGGTCTATTCTAATGTTTCCCTCCTGGAGGGAAAACTGAGGCTCTCAGTATAAACAGGGCTGTATTTGAGACAAGATTGAAAGCTCTTGGGCATGGAGCTTCTGGCTGCAGAGAACATGCTGAACATTCTTCAGGAGCGAGATGGGCGGTGCCCAACAAGAGCAGCAGTCTCAGAGCTCCACTCTGGGTCACCCCTCTCTGGAGCCTGGGTGGCTTCAGACTTGCACTGCACGACCTGGAGCATCCAAACCAGACACCACAGTACCAGATTCACCCAAGAAGAGGTCTGTGAGAGAAAACAGGAATATGAGGAAGGACGCCATCTCCAGTACTCAATATCCTCTATTGAGAATCAGGTGACACACCCACGGATACTTGGAGCTTTTGGCTGAATTACAGCCAAGCACATATTACATGGAGAACACTCCATACTTGAGCTACAGGTATTTAATCTTAGTATATCCCTTTGTCTCACTTCAGCATTTCGTAGGTTGGAGTAAAACTGCACAGCAGTTCCAGGGGGTGTCCATGAGATTTTCTGGGCATCAGAGCAGCTGTGAGGATAGAGAGAGGGAAAACGCTCTAAGCACATTTGTGTTCTTAAAGGACCAAAGGATGGGGATAAAATGGGAACGTAAATGACTTGTCCCCTACAGAGGGAAGATAGTCCCTGCCAGGTTTCCCTCCCTCTCCCATTACCTAATTGTATGGTTCAAGGAGATGATGGAATTGCAGAGAGAACGGGTGCCAAATCGAAGTATGCAGGCAGACACTAAGATGAGGAAGATGGCTATAGCTGAGATGGCCAAAGCAATTCGGAGCCCTATAGAACCTCTGAGGGAGAGAAAACAAGCTGTGAGGCTTAGCTGGAACTCACCTCACCTCAGCCCCTTGTCCTCAGTAGGGCAATCACCTGTGGGAATCCTCGATGCAGCTGCTGTACACCCAGAAGAGGAGAAGCAGAAGGCAGTAGAGAGCCAAAAGGCCTGAAGCCACAGCTACAAAGGAGCAGAGGGAAGGGGCTGAGGGACTTGACAAGGCCAGAGAGGAGCCATTGAGGGCAGCCACACCATACAAGGGGCAATTACCACCGAAGGAGCCCTGTGGAGAGAAAGCTGTTTAGTCCTTCCTTCCAGTTTAGTGTCCCGAGATGCAGGTTACTGCCAGATGTCAGGGCTAGTTCACAAATTAGGAGAAACGGAGAGACTGATGTAGATCTGCTGGTAACCAAGTCTGCAGGGCCCCGAAGGGATCAGAAAATTCAGTGGGTTCTAATGAACCCAAGAGATGCCGGACAGTGGTGGCACACTTTAATCCCAGCACCAGGGAGGCAGAGGCAGGTAGATATTTCAGTTCGAGTCCAGCTTGGTCTAGAGGGAGTGCCAGGATGGCCAGGGCTAGATACATAGAGAAACCCTGTCTCAAAAAACAAAAACCCAAGAGAAATCACAAGTTGCAGCCTTCTTTGTGAGCAGAAATTCTGGAGTAAACCCTGACCTTGTGTGCCCTTAAACAAGCAGCTCTCCTAGCCTGTAGTGTCCTAGACTCCTATAGAGACTCAAAGTACTCTATTACCAAGACTGCCCAGCAGTAGTAAATCTTAAATGTACGTAGGTATTTACGTTTCCTCATTTCACACACCTCGTTAGAATCATGTGGTACCTCGATCACCTCCTCTACACTACATTTTTTTTTTTGGTTGGGGGGTGGCAAAACGTTTCTATTGGATAAATGCAAAGACGGCTTGTATGTCTCAGTACCCAAGCAAGTTTATGCAGCAGTTTAACAACCGGCTCATCTTGGGCGGGAAGGAAACAACTTTGGGACTTCTCAGCCCCTAAGACCGGTGGAGCTACCGCGGCCAGTCCCGGACGTCGGCCTGCTCCAACCCAAGGCTAGCCCACCCCGCAGCCGCACCTGGGTCCTGGTCAGTGCCGCAGCCGCCACAGCCCCGCACAGGAAGGCGGCAGCGAATAGCGTGAGCTCAACGCGCTGCAACCAGCGCAGCGCCATGGTGCCTGGGCCACCAGGAAGCCAACCGCCCAAGCCCCGCCCACGAGCCCGGACACGTCACTTCCTGGGGAGAATTTATTCTTGAAGGGGCGGCAGCTTTACAGGGGCAGGTACAGCGAATAGTCCGAGAGCGCCCAGCGGCGGGCCGGGCGGCCGGTGCGGCCGATCATGGGCAACTTCTGCACGTAGCGGGACGCCGGGCTGGGCCCGTAGGGCGCGGGGAAAGCAGTCTGAAAGAGACGCCCGCGGCAGCGCCGACCGGCCTGACGCCCAGCGATGATAAAACGGAAGTGGGGGGCACCGCGGGGCGCAAAGCGGCTCTTCTGGAAGACGTCGCGCGTCCCGGTGCCAGGACCCTGCTGACGAGGAGCGCCCCGCGCCCGGTGCACGCGCGGCAGCGGCCTGCTCTCCGAGGCGGCGGAGGCGGTCGCGGGGCCCCCGCCGAGCGGGCTCTCGTCTCCCTGCGGGCTGACCACGGCGCTAGCGGTCAGCTGCGGCATTTTCCGCACCGAGTCTGGGGCGGCCACTGGCTCCTTCTTGTCTCCGGGTGGGCGCGGGACCGTGGGCGCGGGCTGGCCAGTGCCGAAGCGTGTGGCCAAGCTGTCACCAAAGAAAGCGTACAACTCCCGGTAGATTTCTGCCAGGGTCAAGGAAGAAGGGTCCTCTAGCCGGGCGCCTCCTGGCGGCAGGGGAAGACCAGACCCAAAGCCTGGTTCGGCACCGCCTCCCGGGGAAGACTCTAGGAGAAGGCTGTCCCAAGGCAAGTCCTCAGCACGATGGTACCCTCTCCCGCCAAGGCCACTGCGATTGGGCTCTGCTGCCTGGGCTTTCATCTTCAGTAGTCGCTCAACGGCCACCTGTCAAAAAAAAAAAAAAAAAAAAAAAAAAAAGAGCTAGAAGGTACCTGGGCCAGCAGGCATCTCAGTAAACCTGCTGAGCTGTAGTAAGGGGCGGTCCACTCACCAGAATAGCTCCATAGACTTTGTGCCCATCTGCTTTAACCTGGGCATTAGATACCGAATAGTCATCCAGCACGGCCTGCAAGTTTGTCCAGTAAGTGGGTAGATGTGGGTAGAGAACTCGTTCTACAGCCTAGAAGGGAAAAAGGAACGCAGTAAACAACCTCGTTCCTTGTTCCATGTTCCATATGCCCTCTTGAGTGTCCTTCCCCACAAAAGATCCTCTCAGATTGTTATCTCAGTCCTCAATTTCTCCATTGGGATGTCCAACGTTTCTCTGGGATATGTAAAAGCTTTTGGTAGGCATGAGGATAAAGACATAAAAACACAGGCAATGAACCACAGAGAAACCCTGTCTCGAAAAACCAAAAAAAAAAAAAAAAACCACAGGCAATGTAAAAAGTCTCATTACTAGCATTTACAGTGGGATAGTAAGACATAATTAAATCATTACAACATAGAAATTGTGATTCTTAGCGAATACAATCAGCAGGAAAGTGCTGTTCTTTATTTTTATTTTTTTATTTTTTTTTTTTTGGTTTTTCAAGACAGGGTTTCTCTGTGGTTTTGGAGCCTGTCCTGGAACTAGCTCTTGTAGACCAGGCTGGTCTCGAACTCACAGAGATCCCCCTGCCTCTGCCTCCCGAGTGCTGGGATTAAAGGCGCGCGCCACCACCACCCGGCTGAAAGTGCTGTTCTTATTAGAGAAACAGGAGTGGAGTTCAGACCACACACAAGAACAATCCAGAGACCTTGTTGAAATGACCCTGCTGGGAGCCCAGACTGGGCCTTGGATTCCTGAGAATTCCCTTTAGTTTTCCAAACTCTGGGATTAATACACAGTGTACTACCACACATGGCTTTGATTATAGACTTTTAAATACAATAGTTATCTGGGGAAAAGCAACTAAGACTAAACAAAATATATTGATATTTGAGATGGGCTTTGACTTGTAAGGTAGACTTGGATCACTCATGCACAGAGCATGAACATTTGAAAATCCCATCACCTACCTGTCAAATTCGTAAGAAAAATAGCGAGAATTTTTTTTTTTTTTCCGAGACAGGGTTTCTGTAGCTTTGGAACCTGTCCTGGAACTCACTCTGTAGACCATGCTGGCCTTGAACTCAAAGAGATCCACAGGCCTCTGCCTCCGAAATGCTGGGACTAAAGGTATGTGTCAACACCACCCAGCTGGAATTACATTTTAAATAACTGTGAAAGACACTGAAATATCTTGCTAAAATTTACGGACATAAAAATACACTCAGAAAAGTGATCTCAATCATAATTTTTTTTTTAAAGCAAGATTTTGAGGTGCAAGTATGTAACCCTATCATTCACAAGTCTGATTCCAAATTTAAGGTCAGCCTGGGCTTCACTTTGCCCGTTTGTATAAAAACAGGCAGACATAGTGGCTCACACCTTTAATTGCAAGGGGGTGGGCTGGGAGGAGCAAAAGAAGCAATTAGATCTTTAGTTCATGAGGCTAGGAAATCCTGTTTAGAAAAACCAGTAATAAGGGACTGGACAGATGACTCAGCAATTAAGAGTACTGGCTGCTCTTTCAGAGGACCTGGGTTCAATTCGCAGCACCCACATAGCAGCTCACAACTGCAATTCCATTTCCAAGGGACAATGCCTTCACACAGACATGCAGGCAAAACACCAATGCACATAAATTTTTTTTAAAAGATAATTTTGTATAAAGGCCAGTAATAATAGTAAAAAAACCATCAAGGGCCCACAGGATATATTATCGCATCAAGGTATTTGCTGTACAAAGCTGGTAACCTGAGTTCAATGCCCTGAAACCAGGTAAAGTTGAAAGAGGGCCCTGACTACAGAGTCATGACCTCCTCTGACCTCCACAAACGGCAAACATCATATGCTTATGCAATCATAATAATAAAGAGTTTTTTCAAAAGGAATTAAAATGGCCGGGTGGTGGAGGCACATACCTTTAGTCCCAGCACTTGGGAGGCAGAGGCAGGCAGATTTCTGTGAGTTTGAAGCCAGCCTGGTCTACAATGCTAGTTCTAGGACAGCTACGGCTGTTAATACAGAGAAACCCTGTCTTGAAAAACAAAAAACAAGCAAACAAAAAAAAAAAAAAAAAAGGAGCTAAAATGTAGCTCGGTTAGTTGAGTGCTTGACTAACATGTTCTAAGCCCTAATCTTGCCCAGCACTGCATAAACCAGGTGTGATGTACATGCCTATAATCCTGAAACGGCAGCATTCAGAAGGCTCAGATTATCTTCAGCTACAAAACAAATCGAAGGCCAACTTGGGATAAATCAGCAAATAAAAATTCAGTTTGAACCAATAGAAACTTTTGTTTCGGGGGCTGGAGAGATGGCTCAGTGGTTAAGAGCATTCCCTGCTCTTCCAAAGGTCCTGAGTTCAATTCCCAGCAACCACATGGTGGCTCACAACCATCTGTAATGAGGTCTGGTGCCCTCTTCTGGCTTTCAGGCATACACACAGACAGAATATTGTATACATAATAAATAAATATCTTTAAAAAAAAAAAGAAACTTTTGTTTCTTTCTCTTTTATTTCTTTGGTTTTTCAAGACAGGGTTTCTCTGTGTAGCCCTGGCTCTCCTGCAACTCACTTTGTAGACCAAGCTGGCCTCGAACTCAGAGGCCTCTGCCTCTGCCTTCCTAGTGTTAGGATTAAAGGAGTGCACCACCACTACCTGGCAAACTTCTGCTTCTTAAATTACAACTAAACTGAGTTTATCCTATGAATGTAAAGATATCTTACTAACAAAAATCTAGGTTGGGCATGTTGGTTCATACTTGTTAATGTCAGCACTGGGGAGTTTGGGGTGGGAGGAATAAAGTTCCTGGCTATGGATCTGGGGAGATAGCTCAGTTGGTAAAAAGTTTACCATGGGGGTATGAGGACCTGAGTTCAGATTCACAGCATCCATGTAAAAACAAACTAGGCCCAGGGATGCACATTTATAATTCCAGCACTGTGGCTTGCTGGCATCTTGTCTAATAAACTGGTGAGCTCCAGCTTCAATTAACAGAAACTGCCCACCATCTCATTAAAAAAGTTAAAGTGGACAATTCGTAAAAGATGTCTGACATGAACCTGTAGCCTCTCTATATATATAAACATGCATATACCAAAGTTCAAAGTCAGCTTGAGACCCTTGTTTCAAGAAAACCAAACAAGATGTGGCACACGACTTTAAGCCAACACTTAGGAGGCAAAAGCAGATGGATTGCTCTCAAATTCAGAACACCCTGGTCTACATAGAGAGTCCCAGGCCAGTGAGGGCTAGAGTGAAACCCTGCCTTAAAAAAAAAGCTGGGGGGGGCTGGAGAGATGGCTCAGAGGTTAAGAGCACTGCCTGCTCTTCCAAAGGTCCTGAGTTCAATTCCCAGCAACCACATGGTGGCTCACAACCATCTGTAATGAGGCCTGGTGCCCTCTTCTGGCCTGCAGGCATACATGCAAAACAGAATATTGTATACATAATAAATAAATAAACATTTAAAAAAAAAAAAAAAAAAAAGCTGGGCATTGGTGGCACCTTTAATCCCAGCACTTGGGAGGCAGAGACAAGCGGATTTCTGTGAGTTCAAGGCCAGCCTGGTCTACAGAGAGAGAGTTCAAAGCTACAGAGAAATCCTTGTCTTGAAAAACAAAACCAAAATTTCAAATATAAATAAATAAATAAGGGCCAAAGATACGATTCAGAGTAGAAGCCCTCAGCTTCAAAATTCATGGAAAAAAGAAAAGAAAGAAAAAAAGAGTAGAAGTCCTTACTGTGTAATCCTGGAAATCCAAGTTTAATCCCCAGAGACCATGAAAGGCGAAGGAAAGAGTCAACTGCACAAAGCCACCTACCATTTCCACATACAGCCCTCCACCATAACAATAAAAGGACGAAAGGAAAGAAGGGCGCATAAATGTAATCCCAGGACTAGAAGAAGCAGGATTAGGAGTTTCAAGTCATCCTCTCATTGCATATGAAGTTCAGCCTGGGTTAAATGCGAGGCTGTCTCAAAACAAAACAAAACCCAAAAAGAATCAGCAGTGATAGTTTAAGGAAGTAGGTAGATCACACAAAAAGTGGCCGTCTCGAGCCGCCTCACCATGAGGTTTGTTGGGTCTGTCCACTTTTCTGGGGACCAAGGTGCAATTTTCCCTCTTTCTTTTTTTAAATTTTTTCCCCCCAAGAAAGGGTTTCTCTATGTGGCCCTGGCTGTCCTGTGCTTCTGTAAACCAAGCAGTCCTTGAGATCTGCCTGCCTCTGCTGGGATTAAAAGGTGATACCAAAACACCTTTTTTTTTTTTAATTTATTTATTTTACATATATAGTGTTCTGGGCACCAGATCTCATTATAGATGGGTGTGAGCCATCATGTGGTTGCTGGGAATTGAACTCAGGACCTCTAGAACAGCAGTCAGTTCTCTTAACCTCTGAGCCATCTCTCCAGCCCCAAAACACCTTTTTTTGTTTGTTTTGTGTCTAGCACTATTATTTTGAAATGCTGGCAAGAACTTAATTCGCTTTTTCTGATCATTTGGACTTCCTTATTCTCTAAAACCCCTCCCTTACCATGTGACTACCTACCACTCTGCCAGTTTAGCACAAATGACATGTTTTTTTATCCTTTGGGAGGGGCTTTTCAAGGGGGGGTTTCTCTGTATTAATAGCCGGGGCTATTCTGGAACTTGCTCCTTTAGACCAGACTGGCCTTGAACTCACAGAGAGTGGTGGGTATAAGGGCATGAACCAGGCATATTTTTTCTTCTTTCCTTCATCTTCCACATCTGGGAAGTGTCTGAGATTTACAACTGGCCTACCCTAGGATATTTTCCTCTTAAAGGCTAATAAAACTGTCCTTGATCTTAAAACACACACGTACCAACTATTTCTATATACTAACAAGGGACAGCCCCCTTGAAGCAGCACCACAGCAAGAAACTGGGAAGAAACATAACAAAAGAGTGGAGGGGAGGGAGATGGGGGGAGCACCTGCAAAATGTGAACAAGACCCAGAATCTGACGGCCAACACTGCAAAAATAAAGTGTGTTGGTTCTCCTTAGGGCAACCCTGAAAGCACCCTAAAAGACTGAGGACATTAAGAAAAAAAAAAAAGTAAATATGAAAGTATGACATGGTCAAGAAGTATGGTGCAGCCGGGCGTTGGTGGCGCACGCCTTTAATCCCAGCACTCGGGAGGCAGAGGCAGGCGGATCTCTGTGAGTTCGAGACCAGCCTGGTCTACAAGAGCTAGTTCCAGGACAGACTCCAAAGCTACAGAGAAACCCTGTCTCAAGGAAAAAAAAAAAAAAAAAGCATGGTGCTTGAGGCAGGAGGATCACAAACTGAAGGCCAATATGGGCAACAAAATAAGCACTGTCTCCAACAAAAAACCCAAAGAGAAAAGGAGAGAAACAAAGAAAATGAGGGTATTTACTAACATGGTGTTAGGGAATGGGCAGGGATTCATTAAAAAAACACGAGCATACTATAGAGACCACCAAGCAAGAGTTCTGAAAGGATGACTGACACATTTACACAGTCAAGGTATACGATAAACCTGGCCCAAGGCAAGGTCTCAACACACAGCTGCATCAAGCACACCACTTTTACAATAAAAATATACATGAATGCTATTTCTTTACCATACATGGCAACTGTCAAAGATGTGTGAGAAAAGCCAGGTCCTCACCTTCCAGCCCAGAGCATGCAGCCCTACCACAGCCCCATAGTGAGAACAGAGAGGCCGAACAGGGTCTGTCAGGACCTTCTGCAGGGATAGCAGAATCTGCTGATAGAGGCCACTTACAAGGTCACCATGAGTCCTGTGGGAGCAACAGTCAGGAAAGGCAATGAGGTACCGCACACAAAGACTCGAGGATTTGTAGGGCACTCTGGGACAGGCTGCCAGGTTTGACTGACTCAGTATCCAAGGGACAAAAGATGGATATCTTAGTATATTTGTACTGGACCATGACATGCCGGCTAGGACTCTAAGGGAAGGGTCTACACTCAACATTTGATCTCAAAGCCAAAGGCTTCACAGTTTCCTACCACAGCCCAGCTGACTCTGTAAGCCATCCCATCCTCTATTCACTTCCAGCCCAGTGGCTACCAGAAGATGTGGCTGAGAAGAAGTGCAGCCCCATCCCGAAGAGTCCAGTGGTCATTCAAAGGGTTGATGGAGGCGGCCAGGGGCTCCAAGACGCAATAGAGCACACTCCCCACCAGGGAGCGGACATAGGGCCCCAAGCAGAGGTGTGGGTTCCGTATCAAGCTCCGTGCCACCTGCAGTAGTCGGTGTAGCTGCTCCAGGTCATGGCTTACAGATTTGACCTGTTGGTAAAGGCGGGTGGCTTAGAAAGACATGGAGAGACAGGAGCCTGACATTCTGACAGCATCTGCTATGAGCCCTAAGCACTGCAGGGCCATCTCCATTAGAAAACTGGTCACTTACCCCACTGACCACATAAACAAAGTAAGGCAGGAGTGCAGCAATCTTGGAGTTTGTCTGCAGGTCCTGGAGGGCGACCTGAAAGGAACCATCCCAATAAAAGAGAGCCACCATTCTGGTGGGTTAGCACAGCACCACGTGTTATGTTAAATGTGCATGCCCTGATGTGGAAACCTGCTGACACAGACAACAATACTATCTGTTAATAGAAAAAGTGAACGCATGCCATCCATGAGTGACCAAGAGCTAAGTTTTTATTTCCCTTTGTTCTCTACTGAGACAGGGTCTTATAAAGTACCTATCCAATCCAGGCCTTTGCACACGCTAAACAATGCATGGCTAGCCCAGGAGCCAAGTTCTGAGGACAGAAGTGGATGGTGACAATGTTCCTAGTTTTTTAAGTGAAATAGCAGCAGCCAGATGTGAAGGTGAGGATCGTGTCACACAGAAAAGGCACATGACTGTGGACCAGAGAGTAAAGCCTCCGGTGATGTCCAGAGGCTAAAGAAGCAGCTCAGGGAGCAGTCCAGGAACTACGCTTGAGAGCAGGCCTGGATGGGCACCTGGAGGCACCTGACCTGGACCTGTATTTTCCCTTTCCTTACCAAGAACTAGCTAGTTCCAGGACAGTTATGACTGTTAATTAGAGAAACCCTGCTTCAAAAAAAAAATTAATTAATTAATTAATTAAATGCCTCATTTGGCTCCAGATCAATAGACACCTCAAAAAAATGGGAATCAGGAATGAAGGTGTGAGAATCCAATCATTAGAAGCACCTGCTCTGCTGCCCACTGCCCGGGAACAATGGTTTCTACTAGAGCATGAAGGAGTTAGGACTGGCATAGCAGGGGATCACACAGAGGACACATGCCACTAGAGAATGGGTTCCACCACAGTAAACAGTTCATCTACAAAGGACACGAACTAGACAACTGAAATATTCATGGGGATCTCAAACTCTGACTTTATGCCTCGTCACTGTTTCACCTTCATCAGCTGTGGATCGTCCCCCAGTACAGCCCGCGTGACTTGCTGGTAGTACTTGAGAAGGTCATCTGTCAGTGAAGACACTGCGCTGGGCACTGTGATGAGGTAAGAAGGAAGTGGTCACACATGAAGGGACAGCCTTCTCAAGGCTTCCTCAGCCTGCCACCCTACAGCTACCACACCCACCCACACGGGACCCAATCAAGCAGAAGGCGCAGGCGCAGGCTCCAGCTGCTCCCAGTGCACTCTGATCAGGCAGGTTCCACTTGCCTCGGCTCTATCTACTCCCACCCACCCTCTGCCATACAGATTCCTGCTCAGTTCTAAAGCTCCGATTGCGATTGCCTATGACTTAGGCTCTCTGAAGCTCCGCTCAGCGTACCCTGGAAGTGAAGCACTTCTTGGGGATCTCAGAATACAGCACAGACTTCTGTCTTGGCCTCTAACATACATTATGGCTGCTAATAGGTCTGGGTCCTGCTTCAGGTAAAAGGCATGTGTTCCTTTAGAACATGGCAGGCATCTGGAAATGCTTGGCAGATGCAGATCAAAAGGCACAGATGCCCCTCACTCCTACAGAGTTCTTCAGGACAGTCCATTCTCCACACTGCCATTTACCTGATCCCTGAGGTGCCAGGTTTCCTTTGCCATCCAGATAGGAGACATGGACTAAAATTAAGGGAAAGAGATGGATGTCAGTTGGGATTTTGCCCCTCCAAATTCCACCCTTCCTAAAAGTTGGCCCATCAGCACCACTCAGACCATCCAGTTCCTGTCCCAAGCCCAAGGAGGACCCTAGCAGCCACCTCTGACTGCTGTCTCTGCACAGCCCTTGGGGATGTTGGTGGCCAATGCCAGCTCCACGAGGTTCACTTCTCGATCCTCTGGAAAGTAGAGCTCACCCTCTCTTGTGGGGCGCAAGGGCAGGGCCTCCTGGGACCCATAGCCACACACAGCCTGAGGAGAAAGAAGATTAGCAAACAGAGTCAATCCAGTGAAGGAACAAGAGCAGGGATGGGGCGCTCCTGATCGGGGCAGGAAGCTTATGCTGGAGGACAGTCCCTAGGTCCCGGGATGCTATGGCTCACCAGGTCAAGGGCTGGATGTTACCTTCCTCTTAGAACTGTAAGAGTTCTATGCCCCACTAAGGTGCCAGTCCCTCACAGCCAAACAACTCTAAAAACACTACCTTCCTCTCTCAACTCCCTGACCCAGAACTACACCAACACAGGTTAATACCCCATGTTTCCTTACCCAGCATGCCTTTTTATTTCTGGAGTACTTCAAGCTCAATTTCCTCAGCACTCTTTAAGGCCTAGCTCAAGCTCTATCTCTTTTACGAATCATTCCCCACTGTCCAGGATCCCGGGGGCCTTTCCATTCTTTCAGAACTCATATTGCTTTGGTCTGGGTCCAGCACCTGACCTATTTATCTCCATGTCTCACAACATTGCCAGCCCTGATCTAAACAGGGGTGAGGTAGCCCTCTGTGGCCGTACTCCACTCACCTCCACACTGCTCCACCTGAGAGCCCTGTTGAAATCCTCTACCGTCAGCTTCCTTCGTTTGGTGTGCTTCATGAACTGAGAGCTATTCTGGGAGGGGATGAACAGAAGCCAGAGTCAGGACGCAGGGAGCAGGTGTAGGAACCCCCAAAGGAAATGGGTTAGATTGAAGAGACAAAGAGGACCCCACACCAGCAATCAGAAAGCCTGGTTTCTCCAGCTCAGCCTTTGCAAACTTTCTCACATCACGACCCAGCTGTGTGCCTTAGTGTATCCTGTGCGGGGTGTCACTATCTATCAACTCTGCCTGGGTGGCAGGACATTGTAAGAAGTGTCATAAGAAAATGCTCAGCTAGTGTTTTCTTTTCTAGATGACTAACTGGGTAGAAAATGTTTTTGTTCATTTGTCTTTTGTTTTTTTGTTTTTTTTTTTTTTTTTCAAGACAGGGTTTCTCTGTGTAGCCCTGGCTGTCCTGGAACTCACTCTGTAGACCAAGGTGACCTCCAACTCAGAAATCCACCTACTTCTGCCTCCTGAAACATGATTCTAATTAGTCTAACATACACGATCACTGCCTGGCTTAGATAAGGACTCTTTAAAAGATCTAGACTGTCTCCTAACTTCAAAACACAAGGTACCTAACATACGTTCATTGAACCAGCCAGTGTGGGAGGGGGTAACAGGAAAGAACAAAGGGAGAAGGGCTAAAGAGAGCTGAGAGCAGCGCACCTGTGTGGCCTCTCTGAGACGGTAGCACACATCTTCAGCAAGCAGAGCTGCAACCTCATCACTCAGCTCCAGCCCTGTGCTCTCTGCCATGAGTCGAACTGACTCCCGAGGGATCTCCACAAACCTCCGCTCTTCTCTCTCCGACATGGTCCCAGTGGAGCTGGGAATGGAAACAAAAGGAAGGATTAAAAACTGTCCAATAGCCGGGCGGTGGTGGCGCACGCCTTTAATCCCAGTACTCGGGAGGCAGAGGCAGGCGGATCTCTGTGAGTTCGAGGCCAGCCTGGTCTACAAAAGCTAGTACCAGGACAGGCTCCAAAACCACAGAGAAACCCTGTCTCGAAAAACCAAAAAAATAAAAAAAATAAAAAAATTTAAAAAAAAAACTGTCCAATATCTCTAAGAGTGCCCCCCAAACACAGGACAAGCAAGACCCTCTCATCCGTGCCTGCTCCTCTTGCTCTATAATCCACAAACAGGGAGTTTAGAGGCTCAACAAGGCCAGGTCCAAGATGATCCACCCAGACAAGCTCCCAGAACTCCAGCAAAGATTCATCATTCTTCATCTCTAAAACCAATGGGCAATGCATGTAACCCCCATCACTCTCCTCCCAATCTCCCACATTGCTTCTGGAAAATAAAGAACAAAACTGGCGGGGCTGGAGAAATGGCTCAGTGGTTAAGAGCACTGCCTGCTCTTCCAAAGGTCCTGAGTTCAATTCCCAGCAACCACATGGTGGCCCACAACCATCTGTAATGAGATCTGGTGCCCTCTTCTGGCCTGCAGGCATACATGCAGACAGAATATTGTATACATAATAAATAAATGAATATTTAAAAAAAATAAAGAACAAAACTGGCCCAAGCTGGAAAGGCTGCAGACATGCTGTCTGCAAATCTTCCTACTACCTTTCATGTGCTTATTTCAGGACCTCAGTCCATTCTGTTTCTTCTTTGCGTCACTCCCCCTTCTTTATTCTCCTCCTTAAATCTCTTTAACTGAGTGATCCAGCATCTATTCCCTTCGCATCACTGTTCAAATGTCACTTGCTCAGGTTGTGTAAATATCCCTGTCATTTGTCCTTAAAGCAGTTCTGAGGCAGGAGCATGGATAGTTCCAAGTCCACCTTGACTATGAAATGAGTTCAAGGTTACCCAAACAACTCAGACTATCTCAAAATAAAAAGAAGGCTGGAGTTGAAGTGATGGTGCACACCTTTAATCCCAGCATTCAGGAGGCAGCGACAGGAAGATCTCTGTGTTTGAGGCCAGCCTGGTCCACAGCCAGAACAAATTCTAGGGACAGTCAGGGTTACAGAGGAACCCTCTCAAGAAAAATATAAAAAAATTTAAAAAGAAGGTTGAAGATATAGCTCAGTGGCAGAACCTTAGGGCCAAACAGTCTGTAACTACACAGTTGCACAACTTCGTGGGTAGTGTTTGCAGAGTTCACACCAGAAGACAACCCTGGTTATCACTCCTCCTGAGGAGCTGCCCACTTTGTTTTTTGAGACAGGGTCTCTCCCTGGAACCTGAGGCCCACAGATTAATTAGTAGGCTGGCTGGTCAGCGAGCCCCAGAGAGCCGCCTACCTTGGCATACGCAGAGCTGGGTTACAAGCTCACTACACACGGCTTTTTACCATCATTCCCACTCTTTTTAAGGGGGTGCTGCAGGCCAGCATGTGGTCCTCAGCAGACTGAGCTGCACACCAGCAAAGACCATGGTCTGTATGCTCACCTTTGCGGCCCAAGCATCCAGCAGCAATGTCAGCACATACTATGCCCTCATTAACACTTGCTGAAAAAAGAAAGAACAGTTATTCTTCATTCCTTTTTCTGTTTGCTTGGTTCTTTGAGCCAGGATTTCCTCTGTAGTTTTGGAGCCTGTCTTGGAAGTAGCTCTTGAGCCAGGCTGGCCTCGAACTCATAGGGATCTGCCTGCCTCTGTCTCCCGAGTGCTGGGATTAAAGGCGTGTGCTACCACTCCTGGCTTTTAAAGATTTATTTTTATGTACATTGGTGTTTTGCCTGCACATATGTCTATGTGAGGATAACAGATCCCCTTGAACTGCAGTTACAGACAGTTGTGAGCTGCCATGTGAGTGCTAGGAATTGAACCCAGGTCCTCTAGAAGAGCAGCTAGTGTTCTTAAACAATCACCGAGCCATCTCTCCAGCACAGCTATTTTTCTAAGCACATAAATGTGGCTTCCAGCTAGCAACACTCTATAACCTCATTCTAACCTATGAGATATATACAGTATACATTTTGTTCATTTCACCAAGTCACAAAAGCCATAGCTCAGAGAGATTACCTGGACTGTCCAAGGCCAACCAGTGGGCATTGAGTAATTAGATGGCAGGGGCTCGAACCTTTGTAGTAAATTAACTCAGAATACTATATTTACAAGCAGCAGACTTGTGTTTGAACTAGGCCTGGCTTAGTAGCTCAAGGATTTGGAGTCCCACAATTAGATGCACCACTGGATGAGTATGCTTCAGTTTTCCCATCTCTAAAATGGGAGCACTCAGTATTGGGTGTGTGGAAAGCCAGGAGGGACTTACTCTATCATATCCCCCTATTGAGACCTCACAAAATCCAGTTTGTGACCAGGGTCTCCCACTCCTCAGTCTCCTGTCCTGCACATCCTCAGTTCCAAGTCCCTCTGCCCAGAAAGCGTGGGAGCCGACCTCCTAGGACCTCAGGGTTGCGCATCTTCCAATCCACCTTACTTCATCCCAGATCCGGAGGGCGTGGGGTGGAGTGGGAAGGTCAAGGGTTACGGAACTTGTGTCACGTGCTCGATGAAGAGGGCGGGCCCCCGCCGGCTCCCAGGCTCTGGTGAGCAGCCCACCGCGGGACGCGAAGCCCTGGACCCCAGCAGGGCCTGCTCACCTGCAGACTCCGGCGCTGCGAGGGCGCCTGCCGGAGAGGCGGCGGCAGCTTCTACTCCCCGGCTCCGGCTAATTCCCTCTCTCGGAGCTCAGACTCCGCCCTCAAAACGCGGAGCCAATCGGTGGCCGTCTCCTGAGTTTCCCGCCCACCAATGGGCGTCCCGCCTCAAGATTGGTCAGTGTGAATGAGCGCTGAAGGCACCAAGCCTTCGTTGGTCACGTGGGTGGCGCTTCTTAAAGCGACAGCTCTTGGTTGGCTAGAAGGTGGTGTGCCCTAGTTTACATAGTCCCCAGAGAGATAGTCCTCCTCCCGGACCTTGCGCCTGCTATTGCAGAGTCTTTCGCAGCAGAGTAAATCTTTAGGCTTTTAGTGCCTGACTTAGCTTTCCTCTCTCTATTATCCCTCCAATAATACCTCCAACAGCAACTGCTACAGGAACAGATGGGATTCACAGGAGCTGTTCCCTATGGACAGAAGAGACTTCTGGCCGGGTGTGATGATGCATTTGCACATCTTCAATCTCAGCGCTGAGGACGCAGAAGCAGGAGCATTTTTATGAGTTTGAGGCCAGTCTGGTTCACACAGTGAGTCTGAAGCCAGCTCAGGAATATCGTGAGAAACAAAAATCCAAAGAGGGTACAGCCTTGGTGGCGCGCGCCTTTAATCCCAGCACTTGGAAGGCAGCCTTAGGCAGATCTTTGTGAGTTCAAGGCCAGCCTGTTTCATAGTATGAGTTCCAGGACAGTCAGAAAAAATAAATAAATAAGTGAATAAAAATAAAGATGGTACTTTGGCTGGGCCAGACACTTCAATAATCCCTGGATTCTGCTCATTGGGCTCATGTCCCCATTCTCCTGACTCGTGCCTTATCGTCCATATTATAGGCTACAACTCATACACTGCCCTAACAGCTCTTTCCTAAACTCCTGTTGAGACAGTTACTGTGTGCTCTCTCTTCAGTGCCCCACCCTTCACCCCCTTCCCTTTGGGAAAAGATCTTCTGCCTGGCCAGGAACTCATTATGTAGACCATGCTGTCCCCCAGCAATCCTCCTCACAAGTCCCCCAAAGGCAAGACGTATAGGTTTGTTTCCGCGTATCTGGTTCATCAACAAGTCTCAGTTGATAAACAGTGAATTTCACCCAGCAAACAACCTCATTCCAAGTAAAAGAGGAAGTGGTGATGAGGCAGAAGGATTACCAATTTCAAACCTGTAAAGGAGGAATTGAAGGTTAACCTGATCCATTCTCAAAACAGAGACAGTTATTTACCAGTCTTCACTGCTAACCCAGCCCACAGAAATCGTAATTTCTGCCACACCCAATCTCTCTGTCTCTCTCTGTCTCTGTCTTTGTCTCTCTCTGTCTCTCTCTCTGTCGTTGTCCTGGAATTAGGTCTATCTACCAAACTCTGGCCAAACTCTTTTAAATACCAGTCAAAATCCTAAACATGCTTGCCCTGGCACTCTTTCTCTGAAGATCATTCCCACCCCTGAATCCACAGAAGCTTGCAAACCTCTATTGCTAAACCAGCCAGGTTTTTTTGTTTTTGTTTTTAGTTTTTTTTTCGAGACAGGGTTTCTCTGTAGCTTTGGAGCCTGTCCTGGAACTAGCTCTAGTAGACCAGGCTGGCCTCGAACTCACAGAGATCCACCTGCCTCTGCCTCTGAAGTGCTGGGATTAAAGCCATGTGCCACCATCACCGGGCCCAGGTTTTTGGTTTTTTGGGGTTTTTTGTTTTTTGTTTGACTTTGAGTGTGTGTGGGGGGGAGTGGTTTGAGACGGGATTCTTTGTGTTGTAGCTCTAGCTGTCCTGGACCTCCCTCCATAGACAGGCTGGCCTTGAACTCTTAGAGTTCTGCCTCCCTCTACCCTGCCCCAAGGGTGGGGGTCAAAGGCGTGCCACCACACCCAGCCAGCCAGCTTTTTTCTAAAAAGGGTATAGCCCCCTTTCTTCTTCCTGAACATCACCTCCCGGCAGCTGCAGAGATTTAGTTTGCCTGCCCTGCTATTTTTCTCCCAAACTTTAATGAAAGAAAGTATCCAGCAAAGTTAGAGGTTAAATTTTATTTCATCCCAAAACAGTAGAAATTTTAAAAACTTGTGTATGTGAGTGGAAGGCAGAGTGCATGCACACGGAGGTCAGTTTACTTTCCAGAGCTGGTTCTCTTCCACCTTGCTTTTGAGGCAGGGTCTTGTTTCTAGGCAATGGCGTCCAAGCTAACTGGTCCACCTGGTTGGCCAGTCTCACCTCTCTTCTCACTGTAAGTATACTAGGATTTCAGCTATTGGCCCTCACACCCAACTTTATTATTGTTTTTTATGGGGGGGGGGGGTTTAAAACAGGGTGTTACTGTGTACATGTCTGTCCTAGAATTCACTGTGTAAACCAGGCCTGTTTCTATCTCTAGAATGCTGGGATCAAAAGTGTGTGCCACCACACCCAATTCCAGTTTCTGATCTTTTAAAAAAAATTGCGAGGTGGTGGTGAAACATGCCTTTAATCCCTGCACTCTGGAGGCAGAGGTAGGCGGATCTCTGTGAGTTCCAGGCCAGCCAGGTCTACAAAGTGAGTCTAGGACAGCCAAGCCTATACAGAGAAGCCTTGTTTCAAAAAAACAAACAAACAAAATGTGTTTTTTTGTTTTGTTTTTTTAAAAATCTGAATGTGTGCATACACTTGCCAGTCAGAGGACAACTTGCAGGAGTTGGGTTCTCATCACAGCAAGGAGGGACCAAAAATTGAACCTCAGGCCATCAGGCAACAAATTCTTTTACTTGTTTCACCATCGTCTCAGGCCCCTTGGTCAAGTACTTGTCTACTACTTGTAGGACGTAAACTGGGTGACGTGATACACGCCTGCAATGCTGGCTCTTGGGAGGAGGGAGCGAGAGAAGCACAAGTTCAGTATTATCCTCAGCTACATATCAAGTTTAAGGCTAACCTGCGATATAGGAGCCCCAAGAAAGTAAAATAATCCCAGCACTCGGGAAACAGAGCCAGGTGAATCTTGAGTTCGAGGCCAGCCTAGTCTACAAGAGCTAGTTCCAGGACAGGCTCCAAAGCTACAGAGAAACCTTGTCTCGAAAAAAAAAAAAATAAGGAAAATAAATTTTATTTATTTAATGCAATTCAAGTGATCAAACCTCCAAGTTTGCATCTGCTAGACAAAAATGTTCTACCACTAAGTTACATCCTCAGCATTTTATTAAAGAATTTTTTTTTAAATTTAAGATTTTTTTTTATTAGTGTTTTGCTTGCATGTATGTCTGTGTACCATGTGTGTACCTGGTGCTTGAGGAAGTCAGAAGAGGGCATCAGATCCCTGGGACTGGAGCTATGTGTCAACATGTGGGTGCTGAGAATGGACACAGCTGGAAGAGCAAGTTCTCTCAACTGATGAGCCACCTCTCCAGCCCCAAGATTTACTTCCCGCTATTTTTATTTGTGTATGTATGTGTGCACATGAGTGCAGACTGTGCTCCAGGAAGCCAGAGGAGTCAGATCCCCGGGAGGTGGTGACAGGTGTCGTGAGCAGGCAACATGGTGCTGGTGATTGAACTCAGGTCCTATGCAGGAGCAGCAAGAGCCCTTAAGCCATCTCTCCATCCCTTATTTTTTAATTCCAGAAGAAATTCCTACATGAGAACCTGGACAGGCACGCTTACTCCTCTTCCTTTCAGGGCTCAATACTGCTGCTTGGGAAAGAAAATCCTCTGGAACTAAGCTGTGAAAGCCAGATGGATGGAACTGGGGTTGCCATGGCAACTCCACCTTAGGCTACTGACCCTGCTGGGTCTCTCCCAGTTACATGGACTTGCAGTGTGGTTTCCAGGCTTGAACACCAAAATGTCTGTCCATCTATGAAGGCCTTAGTTTATCCGCCCATTAGCATTGGGCTGGGCTGCTGGCTGGTACTGCTCACATTTGTGAGCCTAAACCACTACTGACAGCTTGAAGGCAGGAGAGGGCGGAAGAAGGCCCAGGCCTGTCAGGGCAACATCATATCTAGTGAAGCTGTATATAATCTGCCTAGAGTTTACTTGCTCCCAACTGGAGTAGAAGCAAGAGCTCAGGGAGGCAGCAATACGATCCACATCACCAGAGGAAAAGAGGAGGCTACTGTGGATGCCATCTGGGATGGATCACCGCTGAGCCATTCTGTCCTCAGAACAAAGCTACTTTGGCATTAAAGTGGGTCTAAGCTCAGGGTAAGGGTAGCCCTGGCTGTTTTTTGTTTTTTTTGAGTCACAGTTTCTCTGTGTAGCTTTGGAGCCTGCCCTGGCACTTGTTCTGTAGACCAGGCTGGCTTTGGACTCAGAGATCCACCTGTCTCTGCATTCTGAATGTTGGGATTAAAGATGTGCACCACCGCCTGTTTTTTGGGGTTTTTTTTTTGTTTTGTTTTGTTTTGTTTAAGACAGGGTTTCTCTCTAACTTTGGAGCCTGTCCTGGAACTAGCTCTTGTAGACCAGATTGGCCTCAAACTCAGAGATCCACCTGCCTCTGCCTTCCGAGTGCTGGGATTAAAGGCGTGCGCCACCACCACCTGGCTACTACCACCTGGTTTAATAATTATTTTAATATTTTTATGGTCTATTTAACTTTATTTATATGCATTGGTGTGAGGGTATCAGATCCCCTGGAACTGGATCTTCAGACAGTTGCGAGTTGCCATATGGGTGCGGGAAATTGAACCTGGGTTCTCTGGAAGAGCAGCCAGTACTCTTAATCCCTGAGCCTTCTCTCCAGCCCTTGTTTTGTTTTCTTTTGAGGCAGAATCTCACTATATAAAGTGGACTG